TTTTGTCTCCTTTTTGTTTCTAGCTATGTCTCAGGCTGTGCAGACAAATGGAACTCAACCATTAAGCAAAACATGGGAACTCAGCTTATATGAATTACAACGAACACCTCAGGTAATACAGACTAGGATGACTTAAGGGGAAATATAAGACATGTAAACTGAGGTACATTTTTAGAAAATGAAAACTTAAATAGAAGATAAAGTAATAATACATTTATATACAAGCAGTCTGACTTACATGTGTTTGGCTGACACTTCATCGATTCAACAATAATTTGAATACGCTATGCAAGCTTCTGTGTTAGACATAGGTAAACAGTGGTGAATAAAATAGATGTGACACCAGCCCATGGAGTTTATAGGCATTAAACAAGTGAATAGCCATAAAATTACACGTGACAAGTTGTGTAAGGAGCAAGTCCTCCATGTTGTAGCAAGTAATAACAGGGTGCTAGGGAAGACTATTTTCAGAAGGTAAAGATAGCAAAGAATTGGGGAAGAGCAGGTTAGAAGACAATAAACATGCTTAAAACTGGACTCATTTTAAATTTGAGGGTCCAATACAACAGGCAGGTAGAGATGCTAACCAGAGTCTGAGCTACTTATAAAATTTTAGGAATTGTCAGCGCATTTTAAGCAGTGGAAATGGATCAAATCACCCAGAGAGATGAGCAGAAGGCCTATAACTTCATCCAGAGGTGCTTCAACATTTAGAAATTAGGTAGTGGACAAGGAGCCAGTGAAGGAAGCTGAGAGGGGCACCATCAGAGTAAAGGAGAGAAAACTAGGAGATTGGGAGAGAGGGGGGATTTAAAATCTAAAGGAACTATTTCAAGAAGGAGGATGTAGTCAATGTGTTCAACACTGCTGAGAAGTTGAATAAGATGAAGGTTGAGAAAAGTGTGTATTTATATTAGATTTGGCCATACAGTTGGCCCTCTGTATCCATGAGTTCTGTGTCTGTGGATTCAACCAACTGCAGATTTGAAAATATTTTGGAAAAAAATTCCACAAAGCAAAATTTGAATTTGCCACGTGCCGAGTACTGCATTGAGTCCATGTAAATGAAGTGATGTGTAGGCATTGTATTGGGCATCGCAAGTAATTTAGAGATAATTTGAAGTACACAGGAGGATGTGTGTAGGTTATATGGAAATACTACACTATTTTATGTAAGGGACTTGAGCACCCTAGGATTTTAGTTTCTGTGAGGGTTCCTGGAACCAGTCTCACATGGATATACAGAGAGATGACCATATGTATTAATACTTAATGACCTTGACAAGAGCAAATTCACTTGAGCAGATTATAGTAGGTTGAAGGTTAACTGGAGTCATGATGCATTCTCATTGGTTCACATCATGAATCAAGGATATGATAATTGTATGTATATGTGGTCCAGGAAGAGGGCAGAGGTGAAAAAAAGATGAATACATGATTCTTCAGAGCAATTTGTCTGTGCAGGGGAGCAGAGAAGAGGAGCAAAAACTTGAGGGGAATGTGAAATTGCATTTTAAATTTTGTTACATTTGTAAGATGGAGATAGAGTGCTGCTCTCTGCCCTTCCCTTGCTCAACTCTCGAGTTCATCATTCGCAATTTACTACGCAGCAGCCCGGTTGAGATACTAATCTAGGCCGATTCAGTGGAAAGGGATGGATTGCTGAAGCCTGAGAGCAAATGGAATAATCAAAAGAGGATGTCCTCGAGAAGGTACAAAGGAATGTGCCTTTGATAGGAAGAAGCACAATTTCTCCGTGAACAAGAGGGAAGATGAGGATTTATAGATTTGGTAGAGAAGAAATGAGGGAGCTCTGTTTTAGTGAAATATGGTAAGATAGTCTATTGAAAGTTCAGGTGAAGAAAAGTGCAGATAGAAGAAAAGGTGTAAAATACCACAGAGAAAGGAAAAGCAAGTTTGTTTGATTAACCAATTGCCGAGCAATATTGAACACCCCTTTAAGGCTGGTGAAATTTTTTTTTAAAGAGATGGGGTCTTG